CGCCGCACCATCACTGCGTTGACACCTACATATGATAAAAATTGTAATTAAAATAATTTTCATTGTACACAAAATATTTGCGCCATTTTTCAGCGCTACAAATCTTTCAAACATTAAAGGAAGTAATTGTCATTTATTGATAATTATGTGAGAACCGAGGATGTCGAGAGGTTAGCTCGGGCTTTTCTCATTGGCTTCTCGTCAGGAGGTTTTAAATCGTGTGGGGAGAACGCGTGTGTAAGTCGATAGGTGCGGAAATTGCGGGTTTCTTATCATAGAGGAAATAGCTTAAAGCGTTTTGTAGCAGCGTAACTAAATTACTAAGTTAGATCAAATAGTTTTTTTTATTGACTCTTCTTTCATCAGTATGAAGACTGCTATTTCTTTTGGTAGAATTAACTTTAATTTTTATTCGCAATTTTTTTTTTTTTATTTGGCCAATTATATCGTGGCATCGGAATAGGAAAATAATATCATTCAAGGTTTTCAGTCTGGATAAAATATTGAGTTTGAGTAGCGTGCTGTTCATGTAAAGACATATCTGTTTGTCTCTGTGATTTTTGATAATATCAGCGAAACTTTTGAACTAATCCACTATTCAATTATATTATCAGGTGGAGATGCACACCCTGGTTCGTTTGANGAAGTAATTGTCATTTATTGATAATTATGTGAGAACCGAGGATGTCGAGAGGTTAGCTCGGGCCCTACTTACCGGCTTCTCGTCAGGAGGTTTTAAATCGTGTGGGGAGAACGCGTGTGTAAGTCGATAGGTGCGAAAATTGCGGGTTTTTCACCATAGAGTAAGTAGCTTAAAGCGCCCTGCAGCAGCTTAACTAAATTACTAAGTTAGATTAAGTAGGGTTTTTTATTGATAATTTTTTCGTCAGGATGAAGACAGCTATTACTTTTGTAGAATTAAGTTCAACTTATATTTGCAACCGTTTTTTTTATCCGACTAATTGTATGGTGACATTGGAATAGGAAAATAACATTATTCGTGGTTACCAGTTTTCATAAAATATTGACTTTAGTAGCGTGCTGTTTATCTAAAGACATATCTGTTTGTTTCTGTGATATTTGGATAATATTAGCGGAACTTTTCGATTAATGGAGTATTTAATTATATTATCAGGTGGAGATGCACACCCTGGTTCGTTTGATTTTAGTTTTATGTCCTTCGCTAAATTGGGGGTAAATTTAGTTTATTAAATTTNGATGATTTCGGATATAAACTATGACAGACTAAAAATTTTAAAAATGTGTTAGATTGGTCACTCGATAAGCACTTACGTAAGATAACGTTTGTGGTACGGTTTCTCTAAAGAAATCCAAGAAATCCCGGCTGTTTTTTTAACCCGAGAAATTCTGCAAATTTGTTAAAAGTTCACTTTTTTCTTATTTCATGTTAAGGTTGAAAAAATTTTGCAAATAGAAAATATAATTAACTCATAAACGACGGGGTGGCACTAGGGGGTTTTCTGCAGAGTCATTTTTTATATTGGTATTTAAAATTGGGTGTTGGTAGTTAACGTTTTTAGTGAGTATTAGTCTTTTAAATTTTGTAGTATTAGAGTTAATGGAGAAATTTCATATTTTTTCGTTTCAATAGAATTTAACGGCCACTAACGAACATTAACGGTCGTAACAATCGTTTTTATTTACTAAATTATAGAAATTTTCAACTAATATAACACATTTATTATTTATCAGATCGGGTTTAAACTTTCTAGCCTACTTTAAACAGTACTAGGGTAATCTTGGGCTTTTGTTGCGACTAAAGTCTTACGGGTTATAATACGGGTCGAAACGGCCAATTACGTGTAGTTAGGTTCGGTGTTAAGTAGTCTGCTCCTTGTTGGTGAAGACAGCCAACGATCTGGAAGTGGGTATCATAGTAACCATACATAATTGGCAATAATATAGTCACATTTGGGAGCTGGTGAATTCTGCAGAATCAGGGCGACAAACGGCCAATGTTTGGCATAATTGTCAGAAACGAGAATTTAGAATTAACAATGATGCCACAACTTTCAAATGAGAAATTCACTACCACTATAATATATCAAGACCCACAAATTTACTTACAAAATCTATCTTTCCTCAGCAGAAGATGACGAAACTTGTGCAAGGGAACTGGAAGATATGTTTAGAAAATTGAATAGCCAAAATATTATTACAATAGGCGATATTAATGNAGACAGCCAACGATCTGGAAGTGGGTATCATAGTAACCATACATAATTGGCAATAATATAGTCACATTTGGGAGCTGGTGAATTCTGCAGAATCAGGGCGACAAACGGCCAAAGTTTGGCATAATTGTCAGAAAAGAGAATTTAGAATTAACAATGATGCCACAACTTTCAAATGAGAAATTCACTACCACTATAATATATCAAGACCCACAAATTTACTTAAAAAATGTATCTTTTCTCAGCAGAAGATGACGAAACTTGTGCAAGGGAACTGGAATATATGTTAAGAAAATTGAATAGCCGAAATATTATTACAATGGGCGATATTAATGCAAAGTCGCCCATATGGTTTAACATTCTGGAAGACGGAAGAGGAAGGAAAATTTCAGATATGATGGATGAAAACGGGATGACCTCAGCAAATATGAGCAAAGCTTCCACTTTCTACGCTGCAATACCAGAGGATTGGGACAGTCACTGAAGAACTAGACCACAGAATAGAAAATTGTGAGAGTTTACTTATACTCTCAGGGAGCGATCACGGGTACCTTATTACAGAAATAAACAATTTTCAAATAGGCGAATATACCAATGGGAGGAGAATATGCAGACTGACCAACTGGGACCAATTTAGAGAGGAGATTGCTAGAAAATGGATAAAGTATGACATCCGAAAACTTACTACAAACTCGGACATTGATTAGTATGTAACACATATAACTGAAGCAATGCAAACGGTTGGAAAGCAAGCGACCAAAATAAAAAAATAGCAATCGAAAGAAAACTCCTTGGTGGACAAACGAACTAGAGAGGCAGAAAAAACAGGTCCAGAAACTTAGTAGGAAAATAACCAGAAAAACCGTCGGAAAAAGAAAACGACTAAAAGAAGACTACAAGCAGACACTTAAAAAATTCAAAAAAAGAAATAAATAAGACAAGGTCTGAGGCATGGGAAAAAATTTGTGGGGAAAATCACAAGAAAGACCCATGGGATACTCACAAACAATTGATATTTCGAAATAGGAAGAAAACACACATGCCAGACATCACGAACGAAACCTATAGCCAGAACAATCTCGACATCATCCAGAAGATAAAAAACATTCTACAATTCCATTCCCGAGTGGCAATCCCGATTCAGACATTGAAATACACAAGTTAATCAGAACTGAGCATGACCGGTGTAAAATTCACAATAATGACATCCCATTCTTTTTTAATTAAGGAGTTCCAAAGGCTCTTAGAACTGGAAAATATAGACGGCAAGCTAAAAGCCGCATTTAACGAGATACCAATAGACTTTGTCTGTCTAAGCAAAGTCTATTGGTATATACCTCCTTAAATACTGTCGTATCTAAAAAAGCAAATGTGAAATTTATTCCAAAAACCAAAAACGCACGCTAATAAGCCTACTCCCGGTACTAGAAAAAATCTTAGATGGCTTAATAATCAACAGAATCTATCACCACTTACAAAATAATAAAAAAACTAAATGACTGTAAATTTAGATTCAAAAAAGGACGTTCTACAATCAAAGTAGATCTCAGAGTCAAGAATTTCATCAAGAATGTTTAGAAAATGGGTCAACACTCCATGCTCATTTCAACAGACTTCAAAAAAGCTTTTGATTTTCTATGGTGGCTGAGTATCTTCACGCTCTTGAACAAGACTGAATGTCCCGCCAATATTTAAATAATTCTACGAAACTACTTACACAGCAGGATGGCAGGATATCACTCCAACAACATTACAATTACAAAAAAGTCACCATAGATTGCCCACAAGGCTCGAGGAGTGCGCCAGATCTCTGGAGACTAGGCTTTGACAGCCTGCTAGAAGAATTCAATGAAAGGGAAGATACAAAAATACAGGCTTTTGCCGATAATGTTATATTGATGATTTCGGATATAAACTATGACAGACTAAAAATTTTAAAAATGTGTTAGATTGGTCACTCGATAAGCACTTACGTAAGATAACGTTTGTGGTACGGTTTCTCTAAAGAAATCCAAGAAATCCCGGCTGTTTTTTTAACCCGAGAAATTCTGCAAATTCGTTAAAAGTTCACTTTTTTCTTATTTTATGTTAAGGTTGAAAAAATTTTGCAAATAGAAAATATAATTAACTCATAAACAGTCAGAATACATTTGTATTTAAGCCCGCTTGTTAGTTTTTAAATTTTTGCTAGTTATGGCATGTCGCAGATTGTTAATAATCAATGCGTAGCCTATTTATTGCAGGACTCTGAAAATTCTTTGTCAGAACCTGTAATACCTTGAATAAATGCGCTGATTCTGTCTTAATTTTTAACCATCTCTAGTAGCTTCAACAACTGCATTTTGTTTTGCAAATTGGGCAAGGATACAAACGAATACGAAGTATGGAAGTATGAAGTTTCTCTTCATAAACATGATTATTAAAGCCAATTGAACAGCCGAATTATCGGGCTATAAGCTTTATGCTATTAAAACAGCCGTGGTAGATAAATCAAAAATACTAGAGAGCAAAAAAATTACTGCAATGCATCTCGAAAACGAACTAGAAATCTTCGTTCGATGCTACGAGTGAAAAACTACAAAAATTTTTGGTGGTTATTTCACTCGTTTATCTCGTTCCCTATCTCCCACCATTCGGCCGATTTGATTATGGGGTCTAGTGAAATTTACAATGAATGTGATTAATAAGACATTATTAATACTCACATAGCGAAAATTTATATATATAACCGTAGAAATAAATTATTGATATACTGTAATAGTAAATTAATTAAAATATTGAGAGTTTTAATAATTGTTCAACTAGTATAATATAAATATGTACAGTTGCATATAATAACTATTTAATTATGTTTAAATTTACAGATGTAATTAACTTTAATTAATTAAAATATTTTTTAATGTTTGATGTAAAATAAATTTCGTTCTGTTGTCGCACGTTCCTTTCCAATCATCATTATTTAAGTCGAAAGTCATGGCTCCTCCTAATCCCATCTTCTTTATCCACATTGCCTATCAGAAATAATTAATTTTATTTTCCTCAATATTAAACATTCAATTTATATCATTTTATTTATCAGTAATTTCTTACACTGATATATAAATGTCTTACCTTCATGACCACACTTTGAACGTCGTCGTAACCAACCCAATCAAGATTTTTATAAGCATATGGGACTTCGCTTTCTCCATCGAACACTCGAATTGCACCATCGTTCAAAAAATCGCACACCTGAAACATAAAAATTCATTTCTTTTTACTAATATTTTCATTAATTAAGATTATATAATGTAAAAACCAGTTCGTTTCAAAAATTTTTATCGTAATTCCACGTGTCACTTCAACATTTTCATCTTTGTCATATTTTTTTTTACAACTTTTTCCAACTGTGGGCACATAGAGAACCTTTTTTTTTTGGCAATCCCGTTATGGGTTTGGCCAGACTCGTCACCTCATTGTGAAATAGGGTGGTTAGGGATGGGCCACCTTAACTTTTATCTGTCATCTTATGCCGGCCGACTCTGTCATATTAAATTTCTAATAAGCATTGTTTTTATCGGGTAGTTTTGATTATCGTCGACCATTTCTATATAAAAGTGAAGAGAATTTTATTATGTATTTACTAATAATTTTTATATTAAATGACATACGAACATGGCATCGAAGCGGTACGCTATCTCACTATCCCATCTGATAGACAACAATAATTATTATAAGAAATATAAAGGCTACATTTTCACAATGCTACGAATTGTGGACCGTTGTACAAAAAATTCAACTAGAAAAAGTAATTGAATTCATCACTAACCTGTGAATATGACAATTCTCCAAGACCACTTCCAACTGCCGGTGCATCGAAACCGTGCATGTAAGGAACGGCCAACTTGTAACTATGTGAATAGGTCGGTATGCCAACAAGTAATTTTGATTTCGGTAATCCTTTCTCCACCCAATACTGTGCCGACCAGGCCTGTAATTATATATCGTAATTTTATACATTTCGTCACATACATCGTCAAATTCATTAAATCGGTGAAATAAATTGGTAAAGTTACTGTGTTTAGAGTAGAAAAATAGGCTTTTTCTACGCTTCTTTTAAACAATGGACTGTTGTGTCCTGTAAAAGGCATGTACCAAGAGTAATCGTGATAATCGTACGCCATCAAATTGACAAAATCAACATATCTAGTAGGACAAAAATATATACAAATTTATTATCGATTATTTGGCACACGTACTTATTTTTTAAACTAAAAATAATTTCATACTTTGCCATATTTGGTATATCATATGACACATCGATAATTGTTTTCGGAGCGGCTACTGCTACAGATAACAGATATTTATCTTGCTTATCAGCAAGACGAAATTCCTAAACAATCAATAGAAACTTTCAGTTATTGCTAGGCAAAAGTTATCTTATTTTTGAAGGTTTTAAAAATGTAACTACAGTATTTCATACTTTGAGAAGAAGAATAAAGTTAATTCTATCCATAGCTGGTAAACCATCCCATGCTGGAAATTCCCAATCGATATCGAAACCGTCGAATCCATATTCGTTCAATAATTCGAAAATTGAATTAATAAACCTGTAATAAATATTATAAATTAATTTTATAATGGTAAAATATTCTTTTTTATGTGTTATAATAAAAAGGCAAACTTTGTTCTATTTTCAGCTGAATATGAAGCTTCAGAAAAACCTTTTCCTCCTCCAGCTGAAAGCATCAGTTTTAAATTTGGATTCTTTTTCTTTAAGGCTATCACCATCTCATAACCTTTAACATCTTCTGGCAGAGGTGGTACTAGCGTAGAGTTAAATACAGAAGAAAAACCCAACAAAATATGAGTGCATATATGGGGATCTATATCGTTTGGCATCAACGTTCCATTCTTCATATGATTCCAGACATAATAGCAAGCAATCTTTTTCGGTTGAGTGTTTAGCATCTCTGAAAATTTACAAAAATATATTAGAAATATATGGAAACATACCAGCTTTTACAATTAACTACAATACAACATGGCATAATATTTACAGCTATAAAAATGTACAATAAAAAATAAGAATTTGGGCAGTTGAAATATTATTAAAATTGGCCAAATTAATTAAGTAAAAAGTATGTATATTTTTATAAAATAAAATAAAAATATATAAATTAGTATTTGAAGATTTGCTATTACCGTTTACATACGTGATTGATTGAATAATGAATCAGGGAAACAGCAGGACACAATAAACCCTGATTCAGAGTTGATTTGACCAACAGTGAGGTCAGTTAACAAGGGTAAATAAATAGAAAACACGCCATAATCTGTATTATTCAGCAGAGATTCTGAAGTCTAATTTAGTTTGAAATTCGAATCTCCACGACAATAGGCTCATATCTTATGACCAGTCATCTAGCCAATACGTGTTACTTGCGCTCAATGTTGAAGATATTAATTATGTTTGTCAATTTTTTTAAATTTTATACGTAAAGACTAATATAAAGCTTCATTGAATAATATTTCATCACTGAAGGATACGATTTTGCGCAGGATGACACACAAATAATGATAACATAGAAAGTAAAACCAGACATTATTTTATTCATATTGCTTACATTAATTTGTAATTTGAAGTTGTAAGCCGTAGCAATGACTTGTTTATGCTTACAATTCCAAATAAAAACGTCCATTTAATCAAACTGCACATAAAATATTTAATTGAGAGTTATGGAAAAACATAATGCATAATAATAACGTAAACGTATATATATATAAAGTATATATATCTAATGCCCGCATATATCTTCATAATGTCTGTAAATATATATGAGTAATGTATTATGCAATATGTAATATCATAAGGAGATATGCCAAACGTTATTAATATAATTAAAAAAGTAATTACCGTTAAAAAAGGGTAACGTGTAGTTATGATCCCCATGTAGTATCCCATCAAATTTAGCTTTCGACATGATTTTCGAACGTCTGCGAATGTGCTTAACATCTGTAAATAGTTTATACGTAAGTTAATATGTAAAAAATTCGTTTATACGTAATAAATTTGCATAACAAATTACATAAATAATATAGAAGAAACTTACCTTCGTTGACAGTTTCGCAAGAATAAAGTAAGCAACAGAAAAGAAACAGGAAAAGAAGTAAAAAGTTCATGTTTTCTCTTCTTATAACAATGTCTATATGATAAAGCATTTAATAGAGAGCTGATGTTATAAACAGATAATATTCTCTTATCAATAAATGATAGTTTCTGTTTGATTCGATAATATTATAGATAAAATATAGTTTAACATATATGATTAAAAATAATAATATCAGCATTCTTAGTATGCTAGGTGAGAAAACATTACTTATCATTCCAGGTGGGTTTACCCCCATTCAAATAATGGAATGTAAAGATTTTTATACCTAATATTTATGTAAGGCTCTATATAAATGTTCTTTACTAAACTGTTCTTTCTTTGCCGATTTATGTCAGAATAGTTACACGGAATGCTATATGAGGTACAGTTCAATGTGACCTAACTAATTTCCAAATTAAAGAAGTTTCCGCAATTAAATTATCTGTTTTGCACTATTACATGTACAGTATGTAATAGAGCAAAACAGATAATAAGTCAAATATTTGGAAGCCCTTAAAACAATAAATGAGTATATGACATTATTTAAGAAAGTCGTCGTGGTCATGCGATCCCACATAGTTTATCAGTTTTTCACATATTAAAGTCTAACCATTTATCATGTACGCTAGCCGGACAGACAAGGTAGTCAAGACGTCAACCTATTGCTCTGGGGAACCCGAAATAAATTCCAGGCAGTAGAAAATCTCAGGAATTTTTCAAGGATGGTGTGTTTCTGTATATCAGGCCTCGTCCATTACCACTTGGTCATCCACACTGTTAATCTGGCCAAGCCCACGAAAGAGTGAAAAGTTTTGTCATAGTTATATTAATAAACCTTCATTTTTTACTGTATAACACTATGTGAACAATATATTTTTCAAATTAAAACGAATATGGGATTGTTCAAAAGTTACTAAAATTGTTAATTAATTTTCTATGTTATATATCATTTATATTTATTTAAATTGCCTTTCTAAAAATTGCCAAGACTTTCTTTCTAAACCTTTCTAAAAATTGCCAAGACTTTCTAAAAATTGCCATAATATATGTTTATCTTTCTTCATTTATTTTTTACGCCAGGCTTTACAGCCGAATGCAGTGTTTCTACTTACAAGAGGATGGTCTCTTGTAACGGGAAAAATTGTATTCGGCTCCCAATTAACAAACATGAACTATAGACAATGGCATTGCTACTCGAACTACTCATGATTAATTCTGAACACAGCATTCCAAACTGATTAAAACTTTTAGAATAAATAATTATAAAGTTCACTAAAAATCATTTCTCATTCATACATTTATCTGAATCAATTAAACAATACATACTAATAACACAGTAATAATCTGTTTATTATAAACAGATTATTACTGTGTTATGCCTTGGGCCGCATGCGGCCCGCGGGCCGCGGGTTGGACACCCCTGAATTAAACAATACACACTAATAACACAGTAATAATCTGTTTATTATAAACATTAATTTTTATACATTGTAATTACATTATATGCCTATACTATATATATAATAAATGTAGTTTTCCTACCATAAAAGAGAAGCCTATCCGTGGCTAAAAAAAACTCCGATTCATTTACGAAGATCTAGACAGACACACCATCATTTATTATTAACAGCGCTCGCACCATTATTTTATAACTCAGATCGCTGTATTATTATCGTGAAACAATAATCAGAACAATTCTTAATTCATTGTTTTTAAAAATCTNACTCGCATACCCTGCTCTAGGTAAACAAAGAGGTCAGGACACGTGTGACGTCACTAACTTGCCATTCCTGGCTAACATTGTAGAATAGGGATCTGGCTATCCTTGTAGTATATTGTCCTTGGCTACTGGTAACATAAAAATTGCACTTCTATCATTTTAATGTTACCATTAGCAGTGTGATAAGTCTCTGTTCTTTCTACAATAGTATTTGAGATATTGAGCTCTTTTATAATGTTTAAAACTGTTATATTGCTACATATTGTAAATGAAAGTTTTGTACTGTACAGTACGTAATGTTCTGTGTATATCTGTTTAATTAACCTGTGTCGTAACTTTTTTTGGCTCAACTTTATTAATATAAAGATAGAGATTAAACACAATATAAATTGTGAATTACATATATCACAGCTCTTTTCTCACTGCAAACTACTGTACAATAATTCACCTAAAATTAATAAATAAAAAAAAGCTATGGGCTTAACCTTGATAAACTCTAAAAAGCCATCCTAAATCAGTGGCGTAGCGTAGTGGGGGCGGCAGGGGCATCCTGCCACGGGTGGGACTTTTTAGGGGCGGCAAAATTTCACAATAAATAATAATAATATCTTGTAAAAATTTGAACCATTTTATTTCATATTTTCGTCGCACTCACGTTTCGGACCGATTGAAATGAGCACGGAATAGTGTTACCATCCGGACAGTCCGGGTAAACTATTACCCAGTGTTATCGTCCGCAACCTGTCAACCGTTTTTTTTTTTTGCTTCTACAATTCATTCGTATTCATATACACCTCCAATATCCAATAGAACTACTTTAAAATAGTGGCAACATTAGTGCGGAATTTTTATTACTTATTCTGTGACGAAACTAAATTTTAGTGTTTTAAATTGAGATACCTAAATAACGGGAAGGCGAAATTTTGCTTTGCCCCGGGCGGCTGACACCCACGCCACGCCACTATCCAAAATCTCTTTTTTTCTTTTTGTAACAATTTAAATCTATTCTATCTTAACACATGGTTTAACATTTCCATAATTAAATGTATATAATTCTAATCATTCCCTTTTCTTCCTGATTCAGAGAGTTCTCGGGAATCCCAAAGAGATCCCATATTAATAATGTATATACAGACTAAATTATAAATTTTTGACATTTTCTTGCCCTTAACAAAAACGCCCAAAAATATTTGAAAATGAACACAATTTGTAAGCAAAAAAACACAGCCTAAACAATTTAAAGTACTGTATAAAAATCGTTAAAGTGACAGTTAATAGAAATACAGTAGAACCTCGATTATCCGGATTTTCCCTTATCCGGACTACCTTCATCCCCAATTAGTCCGGATAATCGAGGTTCTACTGTATAAATATTAGCGACGTTTACGAATAAATAATGTTCAAAACCGGATTAAAATAGCATTTATAAGCGATCCTTTATGAGTTAAAAACGAGAAAATTTCATATACTGTATGAAAATAATTTCGAATGTTTACAGCTGACTTATGCTCCAGCCAAACTTACGACTATACGCGATCGAAGCGGCAGAAATATTTATTAAATAATAGTAGTATTACAGCTATTGGCAGCGCTGGGACCAGTATAAGTATCGATTCTGCCTTTAGTAAAAATTATTTAAATATAATCGCAAAAAAGTAGCCCGATATGATCCAGTGGTTGTTTGGCATTCTTTTAAAATTAAATACAAACTTGACATCTTTATAACATTCTTAACCCACGTAAGAACGAGATGAGCTGAACGAAATTGTGTAGCTGATTTTTGAAGGGTCGACTGTTCAAAAATCATTTACGGAATCTGCAAGGTTGTCTCCTGGGAGGATTCTTATAAAAACTGGTCCCTATTTACGAGTTACATACGTGATAGAACCGCAGAAAAGTCCACGTGGCACCAGGTTGTTAGTCAGGCGAAAACCCACCAGTGTTCACTAGTTTTATCCAATTGGACATTGATGGGCTTTCAATAAAATATATTAGTTAATACTCGAAAAAATATTTTTATTTACTTCATTTACTTTGCTATTATTAGTAGTTACTTTTAATTTATATTGTCATGAGCTTACAAGATTTACATACACAATAAAAATATTTTACAAATGCAAAATATACAAGATAAGTGTATATCATACATTAAAACCCACATTGAAACTTTGGCATACATAAAAATATATATTTCAATTTCTAGTTAACTATATGTTTGCTTATTTACTGGCTCACAATATACAATACTTTATACAATTGGCAATTAAGTACCAGAACAATCTACTTACAACAAGCTGACTTAGTGTTAATTTGATACCTTCATCACATTGGTCATATGGATAACAACTTGCCGCTGTGTGGTACCCAGATTTCCATCTAGTCCAGGAGCAAATATTGGACCTTTTTGAATGTTTCCAACATTTCTATGAAGTGTTTAGCTATGTGAGAAGCTTTCATTGTAGTCTACAGTTTCCTTTAAATGTTGGCAGTTTTCAAACTAAACTGCCAACGCATATAATTCATTTTATAAAAAAATTATGTATAAAACACACACATTACATTTTGTACAGAAATATGCAAATTTCTCAATAGTTTTGCTTCACTATTTTAATTAATAAGAAAAATAAATTATACCTGAGAAATAATTTATATACTACAAAATAACAGTAAGAAATGTAATAACATATACAATGTTAGCACATTACAATACACAACTTTATGAATAAAACGGTGAATGGATAGTTTGAATTTATCTCGCTTTAGTTCTCTAATTAGTTACAGTCTGCAAAACAACCTAAAATACATTGATTGTCTAGACCTGATCTAATCTAAAAATGTTTTCAACAATTTTAATCCCATCAACCAATCTCAGAATGGAACATTCTGTGCTGTTCCATTTTGATATTCAAATGTTAGATTTGATAGCTTAGAATGGCCTTTAATAGGGTGCAACTATGCAGATGTGAATTTAGAGCAAGCGAGATATTGCGAGCGATTTAGTTTTTGCAAAGAAAAACCATGCACAAACGAGAAGCAAGAAATAATGCTAGCAAGAGCGAATTTCTGGTTCTCGCACATATCTGACAGGTTTTGATATTTATCGCGTCTCGCCTCTTCTCGCCACATATTCTCATTCACTTGCATCTGCATAGTCGCAGCCTTATCCCAAAACATTTCTAGATTAATGAATGGTTTTGGTTTCTTAATAAGCAGATATATCAACCTTACATAATTTGTACCTTTTAAAATAAATATGAAATTTACAATGTACAGTAATCATCCATTATTTCACCCACTGAGGTTTGGAGAAGATGCCCCAACTCTAATTGATAAATTATGACAGGAGTGGATATGGGGCTGAGTAGGTCATTACCCCATCCACTTTTTTTCCCTTCTAAAAATCAAAGAAACCTAAACTTTAAGTCAGAAACTCAATTTATAAAAAGTTATATGTTTATTTATGTTTTCTATATGGAAAAAATATAGGGGTTGTTTCAGAGCATAATAAACAGATTAATCTATTTTAATAACTCTTTAAAAAGTACTGACCCCTCATCAAAAGTTTCTTCCATAGCCTTTGGCAAATAGATGATGCTGTAACAATGGGTCTTGTTTTTTAAAGTAAATTTCTTTGTTTCTTTGCAAGGACATAGCACTGTCATGTGTGGTGGAAAAATGTTGTTAGGAAAGGTCCGAGGGACTGAGGTTTTAGCAGAGACCATGCTGTCTCTCCACAGACTGAGTATGGCTTGGAGTTGAATTCAGATTTCTATGGTGACAAACAGAGCACATGGTAATCAGGCAAACTTTGAATTCTATGAGAAAAAACTTAAATCAGGATTACATCTGTTTGGTCACAATGTTTAATTGCACTTAATAAATAAAAGATGATAACATTCATGCATTTTTTAAATTTCCTGTGAACTTATCTTAAATCAAAGAAAAGTTAACAGTAAAACGTCACTTGATAAATCGTGCTTATTCATTATTATTCAGTTTCAAGTAATTCATAATAAAAATGTCATCATCACATAAATAAAAAGTACATAGCAAACATCTTAACAAAAATGATTTTAAAACATTTCAAATTAAATGAACAAGATTATAAATGCTAACGTTTTGTAAACCTTAGTATTTGTCTCTGATAAAATGCAGTTATAGATAATAAAAAAAACAATAGTTATTTATATTGTCTTAACCTTTAAAGTTTTAATGTTTTTTAAGAAATTTTTTAAAAAATTGTTTAAAAAAAAAAAATTAATACTGAAATAAATACTTATATATAGTTGAAGTGGTAAAATGATGACTAGAACAATGATGAAATGAAGTTTGTCTGAGCTTGTTCATTCCCATGCAGTTACTTGATAAACTAACTTAACTTTACATTAAACATTGAATAAATAAATTAATTAAGAACTTAATGCTGCTAATCACAATTGGCTTTTTTATCACAGAGAATACTTCGAATTATTTGATGCAGTGGAAACTTTGTCTTCCCATCACAACTTCCCTTCCAGTCATCATAGTTTAGATCATAGGTCATTGCTCCACCAAAATCCATCTTCATTATCCAATGGGTCTAAAGAATACAGAGGAAATTTAAAAGTTGCACAAAATAGAGAAGTGAAATAGCTCAAGCATGTACTAGTCTACTCTGAGATAAAGTAGATGTGCAACTCTCATTATGGCTTATTCTAGACTGGTTTTAAAGCCTTTATAAAATAGTAATAGAGTGATGCTAGCTATATCATTCTTTCTTTAAACTTAAGAATACATGATGATAAAGCTATCATAACCCATAGGTCACATTTGAGTTATGCTAGCTTCTGAGTAGATGTATAAATTCTCATCTAATGGATGTGATGTAACACCATTATCTCTACTAGAAGTTACCATACTACAGATGTAGATATCTGTATAAATCTACAGATTATGCTAACTTCTGAGTAGGAGTATAAGCAACAGATTCTACTGATATAAACAAACCTAATACTAATATTACTAATAATACTAATTGATGATAATCTATTGATACATCTCTTTGCATTGTAAAAATTTTTACATGTAGAAGCTATAAATCAGTGCACAGACAATATCTGCATTGATATTATTATATATCAATAAATCTATCTACAATGCAAGGAAAGATTTTGTCCTTCTAGTTTTCCCTCTATATATGATACAAAACTATCAATAATTGAATTATATGTTTACTTAAACATTATAAAATTTTCAGATCATCATACCTTTGCTGAAACACTTTGATAATCATCATAACCAATCCAATTTAGATTTTTATAAGTGTAAGGAACTTGACTTTCTTTATCAAAAACACGAATTCCACCTTCTTTTAAAAAGTTACATACCTTAAATTAAAAATTTATATTGTATTATTTAGTGAATAGTATGTATTATTTATACATTACAGTATTATAGTATGTGTTTAAATATAATTTAAAAATTTCAAATTCATTACCTCAGAATATGTTAACTCTCCAAGACCAGTACCAACAGCCGGAGCATCGAAACCATGCATGTAAGGAACGGCTAATTTATAACTATGTGAATACGTTGGAATTCCCACTAATAATTTTGATCTCGGTAAACCTTTCTCCAACCAATATTGTGCAGACCATGCCTACAGTATTACATGAAACACATGTATTCCACCAATGAAAAATAATCATCAATATCAATAAAATTTATCAGTAAGTTACCGTGTTTAGAGTGGCAAAATAACCTCTCTCAATACTTCTCCTGAATAATGGACTATTATGTCCAGTAAATGGCATGTATTTGGAATAATCATGATAATCATAAGACATTAGATTGACAAAATCGACGTATCTGTTTTATAAACATAAAAATGAAAATTATTGAAATTACTCTGTTTTATAAATGTAAAAATGAAAACTAATAAAATATCTGAACATAACAAAGATGTTAATGACAGATTGCTTACCTTGCTATCTTTGGTACATCATAGGAAACATCGATAATTGTTTTTGGAGCAGCTACAGCCACAGATAGTAGGTATTTGTCTCTACTAGCATAGTGAAATTCCTGTAATATGTGTTAAACACACAAATATATATGTATACTGTATATATAAAACTTACTATCATTATGACAACAACTATAAACAGTAGTTGAAAGACAAATATTCATTTTACACAGTTTCTTCTTATTAATTCATTCAATGTCTTAAAAGAATTTGTTGGATTTAAATAACAATTACTAGTCAAAAGTTTGCAGTATTATACATCAGGTAAATTTAATTAGTTAGACATATATTGAATTATGTTTTATGTTAGAAAGATACATATACCTTTTAAATAATAACAAACAATATATTTTAAGTACAGTAGAACCCCTCTACTCTGCCCTCGGCTAGTCCGTCACTCCGGTTAATCCGACCGTGGTCGGAGTCGAGAAACTTGTCCTGACTTGTCGGTGACTCACTGTCCGTGGCGTTTTTCTGTGTTCGTTACAGTATATGTTTTACATTGTGTGTACGTGCACAGTTTTGTGTGTGTTTTCAACATGTCAGGAGTGAAATGTAAACACGTTACTCTTTCATTAAATGAAAAATTAGCAGTGCTACAAAGACTCGACAAAGGGGAAGATTGTTTATTTTACTTTTTTCTGATAATCCGACCTTTTTTGCGTTCCGACCATACCCCCAGTCCCAAAGGTGA